GTTAAGACTGGGAGATGAATCACTCATGAGTCTGTGAGCAGTGGCTGGTTCTGGCAATGACCTAAGTGTTTTACATGACAGCTTTCCCCATGCGGCCAGAGTGTTCGCTTTGCCGGTGAAAGGAAAGGCTGCTTGTGGGGCCCACACTCTGCTCCTCCGTTATAGGGCTTCAGTAAGGGGACACATCACACATCTGGAACTTAGAACCAATTAAACATTTAGAAACCTCAGCTTCTGCAGATGAGGATGTGTTCACGGAGGGAAGGCTGAATGGAAGACAGTGCTAGCCATCCCACAAATAGAAGTGAGTGGTCTATTAGGAACCCAAGAGTGGTACAAACACATCTCCCCAGAGCTCATTAAAAATAGTTCAAACGTTCACGCCTCCAGTATGATTCAGTTTGGGGCCTCATCTGGACCAAGGATGGACAGCATACCCCGCACGGTTCTGTTCCTACAATTCCCTACTCTACAGCTTGGAATTTCCTGGAGATGGTTAAAGTGAGGCACTGTGACCCCTTCCTGCAAGCTTTACATTTATTATAAAATTTCTGGGGTTTGGAGGGCAATGACTCACCCACTGCACCTGGGATCTTAGTCTCATCAAAGGCACAGGAGCTCGGAAATTCGGTTTAGCCTCAGATCCTTTCCTTGCGTGGCTGCTTTTTGCCTTACTTCTGTTGCTATCTGTAACTACTGAAATCAAGGAAACCTGACCAGTGGGCTGTGTTCAGAATCCATAGGGAGTTGCATGAAAATTCGGAAACCTCAAAGCATCCAATTACCCTTCTAAAATGCGGCTATTCCTGTGGGCTTAAAAAGTATTCCCATCTTAATATTTCTTTCAAAATCCATTCTCTTCTTCACATGCCATTCCTAACCTACCCCTCAAAAGCAAAACTAAGCCATTTTCCCTTCACGTGTCCCCCAGGCTCCCTGTACTATCACACACTCTCCATCCCCCACCACGTAAAAACAAGCTGTGCAGATTTGGGGCAGAGTCTCCTGATTAAAATAAATGAACAGACAGACTTGTGAGGGAGGGGCTGAGAGGGAGGGACTTTCCACAGAGCAGGACCCTGAGATCTGCTCGCCCCTGGGGACCACCCTCTGTTTAATGTTTTTTTTTTTTTTTTTTTTTTTTTTTACTTTGAGAATCCCCTAGAGCTGGATATTTTTATTCTTCACATTTTCCCATTGTTGCTTTTCTATCTCTTGTAACTTAAATGGGAAAGCAATCTGTTCTCATTGACGGTGTTACCCCAAGTTCAAAGAGTGGATAGACTTTAAAATATTTTAAATGGATGCTATCTGTGTGCATGCACATGTGTGATGTGTGGGTGTCTCTGTCAGCGTGTGTGTGCCACAACACACATATGGAGTGTGTCAGAAGACAACTTTGGAGGGTCATTTCTCCTCCAGGGATCAAACTCAGAGAGTCAGGCTTTTGTTGAGGTATCTCTCCTGCCGTAGCCCTGCAGGCTGTGGTACTCTGCTCTGGGTTCTACACCTAGAGGCCCTGATGTGGAGGCCCACAGGGTGGGGCTTCAAGGAGCAACACAGGGATCCCGATATGTCCTGCTGCTAGCTACAACTTGTCAACATTCTGGCCTTAGGGATCGGACACCCTGGGTTTCATTCTTGTCTGCTCAAAGAGCTGTCTCTCATGCCTGGGCTTAGTGACTCAGGCTCTCAGTCAGTCTCCTGCTGCCCCAGGGTGCCACTGGGTATTATTGTAAGGCTGATTTCCTTGGCCAAAGCCCTTGAGTAAACCTGTTACCTCACCCTGCCCCATGTCTCTCAGCTTCCTGATACTCTGGTACCTGTGAACCCCTAATGTTGCTGGGAAGCTTTGAGCCTTCGATGTCCCTGCCAGGGCTCTGTACTTATGCTTGAAACCTCAGGGCAGTTGTACAGCTGCAGACAGCTCAGCGAGGGCAGGGCGTGCCAGTGAGGATAGATGGCAGCTTTACAGGAGAGCTTGGGATGGAGAGTCAGGAGCACCAGTCCTCATGAAAAGGAGGAGGGTGGGAAATCTCTTTTAAAGGGAGTAATGCTATGAGCTGTTTATGCAATGGGGATCTTGTTCACCCTTGCTTGGAGTTTCAGGTAATGCATGAGATCACTTCATTCAGAATGCCCTGTGCTGTCTTGGACCCAAAATGTAAAATACAACGCAAATAAAGATCTAAACATGTAGGAACAAAGTAAAAGTTCTTAGAGGAAAAAAATGTTTTTGGAATATTAGCTTAGCCACAAAGAAAGAGACTCATTGATGCCATGAGAAATATCGTCTGTAGAGAAACTCATAGAAGAATTTACAGAAAGGAGAGACAAGGGGAAAATATTTGCAACACATGGAACAAAAACTTGTAGCCCTAATATGTAAATATTTCTCATAAATATATAAGAAGTTAATAAGAGAACTACAAATAGACTAATACAAATTAATTATGAGAAAGGTAAGCATAACTTACCATAACTCTAGGAAAAAATAAAAAAAAATTGCTAGCAATTGGGGAGATACAATACAAAAATGAAAATACGTAACTAATAAAAAATAAGGCACATATCTTTAGTGCTTGTCTTATATGGGGCCTCACCTTAGCAGAGGAGTGTGGTCTTACCTCACCACCTTCCTGCCTTGTCCTCTCCAGTTTGTACCCGGTTTGGTCATCTTGCCTGGCAAGATGCACAGCTTTGCCTGTTGACTTGAGCTGGTGTAAGTGGCATGGGGCTGGAGGGATGGCTCAGCCATTAAGAGCACATGCTTTTGTAGAGGTCCCAAGTTCAGTTCTTAGTCAAGACTTCCCGCCAGACTGGCATGGATGCCGTTGGGGGAGGGGAGCTGTGGGGCTTCAGCAGAATTTAACTGTTTTCTTCTATAGTGTTTAATTTTTTTAAAAAAATTTCTATAATAAAACCCTTTTCAGATGAAATTCTCTTATACAGGAAGGCCTATGGGATTATGAAAATACAGCTTGGTTGTCTTTGCTGCATCTCCACAGCTTTCCACATTCAGGAAAAGTTAATTTAGAAAGAGCTGTCAGGCAAAGGGTTATCCAGAGGTCCATGCGGCTGTCTTATTGTTGTCCTCTGTGTCTGTAGAGCAATGTGATCTTCTAGCCAAAGGAGACTCTGGTAAATGCTAAGGCATGCTTTAACTTGGAGAGCAGTTTGTGACGACACTGTCGTTTCTTTATAAAATAAGAAGTTGGTCAAACAGGGCCTTATTGAAGATGCAGCCTTCATTTCTAAGCTCAGCTTCCTTCGGCCTGAGTAGAACTAGCTCCCTGCCTCCTTCACGTTCTGTACAGAGGTATCTACCCTTGGATTTGTGACTAGACACATGGCATAGATCCCCAGGGCTCTGCGGATGTTCCCATGGTCCTCTGCAGCCTGTGGAGGCCTGTCTTGCCAGCAATTGCTGTCCTCAGGGAAGGCCCAGTTGGGGCTGTGTGTATGAGCACCGTCTTTGGGCCTGAGTGTGTTCCTGAGTCCCTCTTTGCTCTTCCTCTTTACTGTTGAAGCCACTGAACTTCCTGCCAGGCACCACCATGTGCTAGACACTGAGAAGGCGATGTAAGCCACAACAGACTTGTGATCATAGTTTCGTGAAAAACACTGGATGTACACTCAGTTCAATATCAGGCCAGAAATGCTGAATCAGGCAGGGGAGGGACTCCAGGCGTGTGTGTGCACGGCATATTAATGACTGTGAGAAGTCATTTGTAATGTTAGTGTTAGAAACTTGCCTTAACCTTACCACTCAGACGCTGAGCCTGCAGGGTGGGGATATGCTAAGTCACTTACAAAGGCAAATCTTCCCAGGGCCAGAAGCTTGAAGCTAGTCTCTTGATAGTTATTTCCCCTTTAATGCATAGCTCCTGTGAGTTCAGCTCTGAGAAACTGTACTCAACCAGAGAGATGGGTTCATTTTCTAGAGGGATTATGTAGGAGCAACTTCCTCAACTCTGCTGGAGTAGAGAGATAGATGGTAGATGTCACCTCACAGGAAGGGAGTTGAGGAGACAGTTTGAGCTGTCCTAAGGCTGGTGGAACATGAATAGGTGCCCATTTAGCAGCTGCCTGTGGCGAGCTCACTGGGCTGACTTTGAACTCCATTGTGTCAGTGAGGAAAGTTGTAGCCAAAATCCTGGGGGTCTGGTAGAGCCAGCAAAAGATTTTTTTTTCTTCCTTTTCTTTTTCTTTCTTTTTTTCTTTTTTTTTTTTTTTTTTTTTGAGACAGGGTTTCTCTGTGTAGCTTTGGAGCCTGTCCTAGAACTCACTCTATAGACCAGGCTGGCCTCGAACTCACAGAGATCCTCCTGCCTCTGCCTCCCAAATGCTGGGATTAAGGGCGTGCGCCACCACCGCCCGGCAAAAGATTTTATTAAGGCTTTAAGTTTCAAGACCAGCTCTTAGAACTTTGCCAAGATGAGCAACAGAAATCTATGGGACAGAGCATTCCCAGAATCTCCATGTGTCCAAAAAGTTACAATACCAAAGTCCTGCAAGTGACTGACCCACAGCATCTGCAGGCAGAGTTCAGGTGTCACCCCTGGCCCAGCCACACATCAGCTTTATGGCTGCATTTTCTTCTTCTTCTTCAAAGTATAGTCATAGTTTCTGTGTTCCCTGTGGGACTGGATCTGAGGGGTCATGTCTGCCTGCAGCTGCAGGAACTGTAGAGCCACGAAAGAATGCAGGTGCTGGGGTTGGGGATTTAGCTCAGTGGTAGAGCGTTTGCCTGGCAAGCACAAGGCCCTGGGTTTGGGCCTCAGCTCCAGGAAAAAAAAAAAGAAGGATCAGGGACTCAAGGCCAGAGTAATCACTATAACAAGTTCAAGGCCAGCCTAAGCTCCAGCAGCAGATCCTTTGTCAAAAAACAAACAGAAGAATAAATTAATCTGTCAGAGGAGGCTAAAAAAAAAAAAAAAAAAAAGAAAAGAATGCAGGTGCTGGGGCCATTGCTCATGAATCCTTCCTCTTCCTCTCAGCGGAGCTGGAGTTCGCACAGGTCCTCATCATCGTCGTGGTGGTCACCGTGATGGTGGTGGTGGTCGTATGCCTGCTGAACCACTACAAAGTCTCCACACGTTCCTTCATCAATCGCCCCAACCAGAGCCGGAGACAAGAGGACGGGTTGCAGCCGGTAAGTGTGAGCCTGGGCCGTCTGGAGTGCTCCCGGGCCCCCATTCTGGAGGTGCAAACCCAGACAGGGTATGGCAAGGGCTAGAAGCCAGGGGAGCTCCCCTGTCAGCTCACCACAGTACAGAGGTGTCAAGGACTTTGGGTTGATGGCGGACCTGGAAAAGTGCGTACATTGTATGCATAGAGCTCCGTGGGTTCTCACTTACAGCCGGTACCCAGTCAGGAAAAGTGGCATAAAGCCCTTCCAAAGCTTGCCCAAGTCCTCCATCTGTGAAAGTCTCCATTTGTTTATTGATCATTAGCCCTAATTAGTTTTGCTAGCTGTGGCCCTCACACTCATGAGGTCTCTTTCATCCACACAATACTGGGTTATGTATAGATTTTTACTTGACTTTAGTCCTGGGGTTGGTCTAGGGATAGGTAATGTCCTCATACGTCTCCAAGTGTGTCTGCAGTTCATGGATGTGAGTCAGCTGAAGGAGACAGTGGGATGGGCAAGCAATGTATGCCTTTTTAGGTAGAGGGAATGGGGTGGACTAGAAATGTAGGATGCTACAAGCCATCACGTGAGGCGCCTCAGTTTGGGCTTTTTAAGTTTTAATTTCTTGCCCCACACTTCTTTCTCCCTTACTAAAACAGTATGATGTGTGGCTAAGCTGACCCATAACCAAAGCTGGGAGGCCTGGGGCTGCTGGGCATGTTCTCAGCCTGTTTTATAATCTGTAATTCTGCTGACTTTTAGCTGGAGACTTGGAAATAGTGCATTTAAGTGACTTTAAGTTCTTAATGTCAGTGTAAGACATAGGAGACGTCTAGTATTCATCTTGCATTCTTTTCTTAGTAGCAGGGGAGATATACTTTATGGAGTTTCCTTTATTAGGACCAGAGATGCCCAGTCACTGCTTAAGGAGGGACTGACTTACAAGAGGCTGTTGTTGGTATGGGGTGTAACCATTGTAATGGGTAGTGTAGGGTGGCAGCTGTGCATGGGGCCCCTCTCAACAGGGCAGGGTCTTGTTTCATTAGAACCACAGAGTTGCCCAGGGAGCCTAATAGCTTGGTGGAACCTGTGAACAAAGGTAAGTGCAGCAGGGAGCAGGAAGGGTATGCATTTCTGTATCCTGTCTACACCTCACACCTGAAGTCCAGGCTGGTGCAGTGATGGCGGACGTGATTTGGCCTAGCAGTCCCTTTTCCTGTTGGCTTCCTGCATCTTCTCTTGCTGCCTTCCTCAGTCTCTCCTGGTCCCCAGTTTTGTTTACCAGCTCCCCTGGGCCTTCTTGATTGACTTCTTTATATACTGCAATGGCTTTCTGTCACTTGTCACCTGGTATCCACGCGTCCACCCCTGACGTCACATGTCAAAGACAGCTTAGATTCTGAAAGAGAGAACAAATTCTTCCAAAGTCCGGAGCTTTAAGAGGACAAGGAACATCTTGTTATAGCGGCCATTTTAGAGCCCCACGGGGTCTTTGCTTTGTCTTATAATAAGGGCTGTGGGTGCCAGCCGCTCCTTGGCAGATGTGGTACAACTCTCTCACGTTGCCATCAGCAACAGGCAACAGCACTCGGGTTTGCACAGATTGCCAGGAGTGCTTGGTCCTGGATGCAAGCTCTACTCCCTAAGTAGGACCCAGCAGAGTTTCTTGTTTTAAAATTTACCCACCTGCATTTCCTGTCCTGCACTTTGTGCTCCAAGAGTCCTCAAATACTCAGGGTTCCTGTCTGGGTGACACAGGTTTCTCCAGTCCCTTGTCTAGGCCCCTCCTTTCGTCATCGTCTTCTTCTTGGACTTGCCTAGAGGAGAGTATCGTCAGCTTCCAAGTGTCCGTGTCCCCACAGTGCAGACCCAGCCCCATGCTCTCTCGCCGTCACTGCCCTTAGGTGTTGTGTCCTGGCCATATGCTCCACGGTCAGGTATTTCCAAACCAAGAGGCATTAGCACGACGACAACTCAAGAGGGCCAAGAAGCAAAGTTCTCCTGTGGTTCTACTTAGAAAGGTGCTTCTCCTTTACCTGGTGGTCCACCCGGTGCTGGCCTCTCCGGGAACATGGAGGCCACGGGCCAGGAAGTGTCGGCGTGCTGACTGGCAGGACGCTCCTCTCTGAAAATTGGGAAGGTGACTTGGAGCAGTCCTGCCAGGATGCATATTGAGTAGCAACGAAGACAGTCAGTAGCTCGTGAATTTTATCTACCAAAAGGGCCGTTCTGTTGGTAGACGTTTGTAAGCTGTGTGCGGAGAGCTGGGTTCTGCCGCAGAGCTGGAGCCTGTAGAGAGGCATGCCTTTCGTACCTGTGTTTATGAAGTGGGCGTGAGAACAGCGTGGTCTTTCATTCCTGAGCTACTGTGTAGCCCTTTCTCGCTTTCCTTCTGAGTGATCCAGAGCTGAGTTCCATCCCTCCCCGGGACTTATGCATTCTTGCTCTGTTCATCACAACTGTAGATATTGCCTGACTTAGGAATGGGGTCCAGTCCAGGCTTCATAAAATTCAAGGTGTATTTCAATGACTATGGCTTGAAGTCCTCGGTAGGACTATTACCATAGCTTATGGTTCTAAAAAAGGGAGAGAGTGGAGGACAAACCTTCCTTCTCACCTGCACACACCCCAGTTTCCGTCCTTTCTACCCCTTAACTCTGTCCATGGAGTGTTCTCTCTTGCTAGGGCTAGAAACGCACGTCCTTCCTTTGTAAGTCTGACTCTCATCGAGGGGATATTCTGTAGAGGCTGGGAGGGTGGGACAGTTGCGGATGTAATGCTTCAAGAGATAGCCGGATCATCTCATAGTGCCCAGGAGACCCCAGGGAAACTGTCCCCTTGGTGCTCAGTGCCACCTGCCCAAGGGCACCGTTGACAAGGAAGGCCGCCATCATCGCAAGCACGCTCCTCTGGCTGCTTCGATGTGTCCACAAAGAGAAGGGCACACTTCTCCTGTATCGCAGGAGACGTAGTTGCTCTGGGACTCGGCATGGTAGACACTTTCCCTAGCCATTTCCATCTGCCTCTGTGTATCCTGCCCTTCACTAGACCTCATCTTAGCCGGGAGAGCAAAGTGACCAGGAAAGAGCAGGCATCTCTCATCCCACCTCAGTGAGGTCAAGGCTCCACTCCCACCCTTTTGATCCTACTGGAATGCTTAGGTCTCACCAGCCCCTCGTGTTTATGAAGCGGGCATGAGAACCATTGTCTCCTCTACTTCAGTGACTGGCCCCGTCTCGACGGCTTTAGTTACATGTCCAGGTTGCCTCCCTTGGCCTCTCAAAACGATAGTCTGTGTTCACCGTCTTCCCGAAAAGAAGTAGCAGGAGCTGGGCAGTCACATCACGGAAGAGGGGATGCTCTGCTCTCGTTCACATTTTACGTGGCCAGCCAGGTTGCCCCTGGATGGGCTGTTGATCTGTGGAACTTGGGGCAGAGTGACAAGTGAGGATGAATGTGTATGTCCACTGTGCCTCTGTTGGGTGGTTTCACATCTTTTATCCAAGCCCTGTTCCTAGATCCTGAAGCACCTTTGTTTAGCTAGCACTGAAGTCCTGGGCTCACCTCTCCTAGCAGCATGGGCAAGTACCTTAGACACCCTGCCACTTGGCAGCATGTAGGTACGGAAGGTTCCTGCCAACCTTTCAGTGGGGAACCTCTCTTTGTGCTGAGCCTGAGTGTTGCAGAGATATTTAATGTTTGGGGTCTTTTGCCTACTTATTACAGACCCAGGTGAGGTCTTTAGTGTAGTGGTAATGCTGTGTTCATCTTAAACTGGTTGAGAAAGAGGGAGACACCTTTCTTTTTCTTAGTGGGCATCTTACTTTGATCAAAAGGAAAAGCCAGAATGAAGTTACTTGTCCTCGTTAGATTTAATTGTCAGTCTGGCAGCCTAGAGTCAGTCATCTGAGAGGAAAGCCTGGACCGAGGAGTTGCCTAGATCAGAATTGTCCGGGGGGCATTGTCTTGATTATTAATGGATGCAGGAGGGGCGAGCCCATGGTGGGTGGTGCCATTCCGAGGCGGGTGATCCTGGGTTGTGTAAGAACACTAACTGAGCGTGAGAGAGAGTGAGCCAGCAGCCAGCAGGGGCATTCCTCCAAGCTTCAAGCTCCTCCCTGAGTTCCTGCCCTACCGCTTCCCTCACTGATGGATGGTGAGTTTGGGAAGTGTAAGGCAGGTAAACCCTTCCCTTCCCAGGTTGCTTTTGGTCAGAGTGCTTTTTATCACAGCAGCAGAAATCAAGCTAGAGCATGCATAGAACAGGATCTCCAAAGCCTGACCGGCCTTGGGTACTGGGGACAGTCCTGTGGAAAGACACTTGCATCCCAGCTGCTCCCGGACCTTGAGGCTTTCCTCTAGACAGCACAGTCTCGAGGGACTTCACAGAAAGGAGACATGAGGCTCCTCCCTCCGCGGCCTTCCTTTTCTCACATTGCCAACAGCCTTTGTCCCTTCGTTCTTTGGGATGACGCAGGTTTGAAGTATGAGGAGGGCTCCATGGACCTGAGGCCAGTCACCCTCCCTCTGAAGTATGGGTGCCAGAGCTGACCAGTGAGAGTCACTGAACAAAAATGAAAAATAGTACCCCAGGCCCACATGAAAGGGAAAGCAGACGCTCAAGTGTAACTAACAGAAGGAGATAGGTTTGTGACAGAAATCCTTTTGTTTTCCTGAGGCACTCCCAACTTGTTTTTAAGTGTCTTGTTTTTGATGGTGTAGGGCTTTGAGACCATCTCGATTTCTTTCCTTTATCTGAAATTATCAAATAATAGGAAAACAATAAAAGGTCCCAGCTATTCCAGACCCAACCCTAAGGGGTAGTTGCCAGAATAGCCTAGGCCAACCTGGTTCTCAACCTTCCTAATACTGCGACCCTTTAATATAGTTCCTCGTGTTGTGGTGACCCCCAGCCATAAAATTATTTCATTGCTACTTCATAACTGTAATTTTGCTACTGTTATGAATCATAATGCAAATATCTGATATGCTATCCCCGAAGGGGTGGGTCATGACCCACA